TCATGCTGTAAATAGCAACCCCCTGTAGCCATTCATCTCATCTTGCTAAGATTCCAAGTCCTACAAGCTTAACATTCCAAATTATGCTGTTTTATTTATTTTTATTACTGTATGCCACATTTCTGGACTCATTCAACCTTTTTATGTTAAAAAAAAATCCTTTTCATTTGTTTTTGTTTAATTTATTTTCAACCTGTCTCTCTCACCTATCAAGATGAATCTGAATTTTATTTCTGATTTCTAGAATATTAGCTGTCTTACCCAATTGTATGTGATCTGTACATCTAATAAATATTTTATCCACCAAAAATATTAATAAATGTTGAAGAGGGATTGTACCAGGACTGATCCTTATGGCAACTACCTCACTCTAGTTTGATAAGAAATCACTTAGGAGCATTCTTTCATTATTATTTTCAGTTTTCTATGTACTTCCAATCTTGTTAATCAAAATGTGGTTATGGAGATACTCCAAATGCCTTGCTGAAATCAACGCCCGTGATCCTCTCAGAAAACTTCCCAGTTTTTTAAAAAAGAGTGAAAGTTCGTTTGCTAAGGTTTGTTCATATAATTGCCACATTGTTTTCTGCATGTTTACAGGTCAACTTTATGAACTTCTTGACTTGCTCAAAAACTACCCAGTAATTAATAGCACTTTGCCTGATCTATAGTTCTTCCTTTTTTCTTTTCTTGAAGTAGGGTCTATTGCTGTGATGGCGAACCTTGGGATGCGTGTTAGATGTGGCATACAACACTCTATGGGGACACAAACTGTTGCCCAGTTCAGCTTTGCTATGCATGCACATGCTCCTCCCACCGGCCAGCTAGTCTTCGGGTCTCTGCCGCGGATGCGTTGGGGCGCATGCGGGGGAGGTGCATCCATTGCATTTTGGGCGTTTGGGCATATGCATGCACGTGAGTGCACACACACTTTGGGCACTCGGTCCGGAAAAGATTAGCCGTCACTGGTCTATTGTCTTCTTCAGTCATTTGGCACTTCACTTTTTCTCCTGGATTTCTCAAAAATAAAACTTGATCAGATCACAGGGAAGTAAAAGAGATGTTCCCACACATCTAGAAATAGATATCCCAAAAGATACAGAAAGCAATTATTACTTTTAATATATTATACATTATTTTATTGGTTTGGTTAAAATGTTTGCAACTCAACTATGGAATCAAAACAGCTAGCATTTCCAAGCATGTGCAAACAGAGCATTAACTATAAAGTGTATTGAAACTGTCATTTAATCACCAAGCAGCCAAGTAGGAATAGACAACCAAACCTACTTTCAAGTTCTTGGATTTCATTTGGAACAATATAGGTTTTTTTTTCTAAATCCTGGATGATTCCTCAAGAGGAGGCAAACAAATAATTCTCAGAAGCAAAGCAGTCCTCAGTGGCATTGCCTATTCCCACATTATCTCTGGCCTCCATATTTTGGCAGCTAGGCATCAGGAACCCTGAAATCCAACATATTGAGAAATGGGCAAATTGGGTGCATCTTATACAGTGAATATAGCATTTTTGCCTCCCGAAACCCTGCCCCCTTCACCAAAATGGCTATGCTTAGCCTTTAGGAGCCTTGCAGAGTGCTTCTGGGGCTGGGGAGGGCAAAAATGAGCAAAAAAATGGGCCTTTTTCTTTGCTCAATTTCGCCCCCTCCAGCCCCCAAGGAGCACTCTGTAAGCCTCCTAAAGGCTATGCATGACCTTTTTTTTTGACAAAAAACGGGCCCCTTTTCATGAAAAATGGGCTGTTTCTTGTTCATCACCCCACCCCAAGCACTCTACAAGCCTCCTAAAGGCTATTCATGCCCCCCCTTTTTTTTTTGAAAAAAAAGGCCCGTTTTCATGAAAAACGGGCCGTTTTTGGGAGGTCTGCAGAGTGCAAAAACTTAATTTGCCTCTTCAAAACCTTGGTGCATCTTATACCCCAGTGTGCCTTGTACTCCGAAAAATATGGTAATTTCACAACGCTCTGGATGTTCCCAGTGTATTTTTTGCTTGGAGTTGTATTTGTTTAGCAATCAGCTTAATGATCTTACCAGAACATTTGTTTTCACCGAAGTACTGGGTTTTTTTTCCTATTTTTCCCAAAGTTGTTTATTGTTTTGCCTATTTGTTTCTTAGCAGTCATGCTAAAATTAATTGAATGGAAAAGAGAGGAAAAAAAAACCAAGTTTCTTTCAGCTCCCTCAGCTAACATTTCATAAGTCTCTTAAGTGGGGTGATATGTTTCAGTTCAGAAAAAACTTCATTGGTGCTAATGCAGTGTTTCTCAACCTTGGCAACTTGAAGATGTCTGGACTTCAACTCCCAGAATTCCCCAGCGAATGCTGGCTGTGGAATTCTGGGAGTTGAAGTCCGGACATCTTCAAGTTGCCAAGGTTGAAAAACACTGTGCTAATGTGTTCATCAGGTCTAATTTTGATTTCTATTTTTCCAGTATAGTCGCACTTTAAAAAAAATATTCATGCAAACATGTGTTTGTTATAAATAAATAAACATGGTAATAAAACCATGGATTGTATCCAACGTACTAATAGCATAAAGGAACCCTTGCAAGATAAATTTTCTGCCCCTTCTTCCCTTCTGTAGTGATCTGTAGTGATTAAAGAGTCTGCTGGGAGAAGATAATTGGGGGATTGGCCACTTGTGCAGACTCAATTTGGCCTATGTATAACTGTGGTCCAGACATTTGATTTATCAGTTCCTGGTAATACTCATTTGTGTACCAGATGAAGAGCTTTTCAAGTATTAGAAATAATTTCTTGATGGAAGAGGCTGTCGAGTAGGATTGCTCTGTGAAGTGGAATATTTCCCGTTACTGGAGGTTTTCAAATACCCTGTTTTCCTGAAAATGACTCTCCCTGAAAATATTGCACAGAACAGCCATGAAGTGACCACGCTTACCACCTCCTGCACCTCACAAATAATAAGACCTCCCCAAAAATAAGGTGAAGCACTTATTTCGGGAGTCAAAAGAAAATAAGATCCTGACTTATTTTCAGGGAAACACAGTAGGAACCAGAGAGCCACCTTTCAAAAATAATTTAATTGGTTCTTGCAGTGACCATGAACGTTAGAAGTCTCCTGAAGTCACTTCATAGGACATGTTGTCCTCTGATTGTACTGTTTGGACTAGATGTTCCCTGGCATCACCTCCCTTTCTGATCCTACCATTCTTTTGTTGAGTACAGTCAGCAGGGATGCTTTGTGGATATTAATGTTAAGACTTTGTGCTACAGCTTATAAGATGATAGTAAGTAGTTGTGATTCTTAACAAAGGCTATGCTAAGGCAAAGAAAAAATTCCCCTACTATAATAGTGAGACTATGTTCAAAAATCACCCAGTAGTTAGCATTCTTGTACATTAGTGGTAGGAAATCAACTGAATAGGTTTGGATAGTTGTAAACTGAGATATGTCAGTTTCTCCCATCCTCATTTATTTCTTCTCTGTACTGGTGGGTCAGATGTCCGTTGCTTTCCTGATCCTTGTATCGATTCCAATTTCTGGATTATGACAGTTTGCAATCAAATATGTAGCCATACAATACTATGTTTTCTTATATGGTTTGAAAGAAATACATGTTGTAATTAAGTGTCTATTCTAATTGCTCTGAAAAGTGTTATAGCTCACATAAATGAAATAATATGTTTTTCTAGACCAGTGATGGTGAAGCTTTTTCTTACAGTGTGCCAAGATTGTGAGTTGGCGCTATCACACGTGCATGCGTGCACACACCAATTAAATCCTCCCCGCCCACCTGTGGATGCACGCATGACACCCCCCTGCGCATGCACTCATGACCCCTCCCCAGACTCCGGAGGCTCTCCTGAAGCCTGGGGAGGGTGAAAAACGGCCCCAACGGGCCAACCACAAGTTCAAAAATGATTCGTTTCCGGCTTCGGAGGCTTCCCTGAAGCCTGGGGAGGGCAAAAACGGCCTCTCCTGGCCCTCCGGAATGGCAAAAAATCAACTGCCCAGCGCACATGTGTGCGCTGGAACTAATAACAGCGAATACGGCTCCGCATGCCACCTGTGGCATGCATGCCATAGGTTCACCATCACAGTTCTAGACCATGGAATGGTATGTTAAAAAACAAATCAGATAACTAATATTTTCCCCTTTAGGGAGAAGTTTTTGTACAAGCTGCTTAAGTCATTCTGATGTACTTGGTTAGTTTTGAGCACATCACAGGGTTTCAATTTAGAGTATTTTATAATTATATAAATTTCATATGTTATTAACCATATGATCAACAAGGGTTTTATGTGCTCTATATGGCTACCTGTTCTCACAGGTAACATGAAACTTTTTCTAGAGAAAAAAGATTCTGGATTTTCCATCTATTCAGGGTGAGCTGCGGATGGATGACATTAGAGTAATTAATTTGAAGTCAGATGGTGTACATATGAATAAATAGGAGCTGACATATTTGGCAACAACCTGTAACTTTAAAATCCAACCTCTTAGTTCATAGAGAATAGTCTTCTTTCATGTGTTAGGGATATTTGACAAACCCAAGAGGAGATCCACAGAGAAGCTCAAGTAAATTGAAACTAGGACTTCAGTATCCTGTGCAAGGCTTTCCAATATTTCTATGGTTGTTTGTGAAATCTTTGCTGTCCACCATAATTCAGTTGAATTTTCTCTTGGCAAACTTTGTCAGTTCAGCCATACAAGAAATACTATGCCAAATCAGAACTTGCAAATTTTATCCTAATTTTATAGTTTACATTACGAAGATAATTTTAATGGTTTATTTTGTAGAATGGGCACATGTACATGGACTCAAACACACACACACATAGACACAAGCCTAAAAAGAAAAGGTGCACCAGAGTCTTTAATAAGCAGCCTCCAAAAGTTTGTATTTTGTATTGTCTATATCAGATGAGGTAGCCTCAGGAATAGGTTTGTAAGTCTTTTTGTCTTGACATTGATTGCCAAGATCAGCCTACATTCTAATCACAGGACATTCTCTTCTGCAGCACTTTAGACATATTTCCTACATTGGTATCTCTAGCGAATGCTACCCTTCCTCCCAACAGACGTTTTGATGGGATAGATATCTCTGAAGTCCTGTTCGGGTACTCAAGCAAAGGACACCAGGTATGGCATTAACTTTCTGAACACTGAGTAGCAACATCCACTACTTGAAGGTTGGAAATTCCCTAAAATTCCTCATGTTTCAAATGATTAACATTGCCACAATCAATGTAAATTTAACAAGACCCTGTCTCTTGCTCCTGCCTTATAATTCTTTATATATATATTTAAAACTGGTTTGCTTTATCTTGTTTTTCTTCTTCTAAATATTTTGAATTGATCTTAAAATGCTCCAAGCTTCCCTGTGTGATACATATGGAATTCATATACAATCATATAACAGTTTTTTAAGCTTTAGATACTCAATTCTTGTTAGGGAAATACCTGTTATGAGATGGAAATCTCATAAATGAGGATGGAATGCAGTTTCAAGCTTGAACTGCTAGCTGTAAAAACAGTCAATTAAATCCTCAATTGTATTTCATAAGCTTAAATTTTACTATCAATCACACATGTATTTTATGAAATATAATCAAATAGTTACATAAAGCTACTAATACAGCACAGGTTTTGTGTTTTTTTTGTAAAATTGGTCAGCTTCAGAAAGTTGGCTCCTACTTGCACTCTCATTCCTGTTGAGCACAGCAGTTGATCTGCAAACAATTTAATGCATAAGCAAAATCCATCTATTATCTCCTAGGAACACTATGACGGCTCAGCGGTAGAGCATTTGCCTTGTGTGAAGAAAATCTCTGGTTCAGCCCCAGGCCTGTACAGGGAGGAAAGGATTTCTATCTGAAACCGATTGCCAATTCTTTTACATGTAACATGTTGTGAGGACTAGTAGTTTGATTTTATGCACAATGAGTGTGCATGAGTGCAAGCACTCCGTGGCTGAGATTCTCAGTGTGCCGTTTAAATTTTCTTTCTCCATTTACATAACATTGCAAAGGCAGGAACAGTAGGAGATTATTCCCAAGAAAATGCATGTAGGTTTGTGCTGAACCAGTTCCATCCTTTCATTTGAGTTCTAATAGGTACAGTTCTCCAGCAGTTGGTTATAATGACAATTACCTTTTTTTTGGCACAACACAAACATTTATGTAATCTTTCTGCTTTTTATTGCTTATTGGCTAAAGCTTTTTTAAGAATAGAAATGCAGAATTTTGTTTATGATTTTTTTCTCATAGTAATTTCATTGTGTATTGTTCTTTCCGCCTGAGAAAAAGAGCTAATCTATGTCTTTGTCTATGCTTTAAGAAATTGATGACATTTCCATCTCTGAACTTTCTTCCCTTATTTTCTAAACAAAATCTTTTAAGGTTTTAAAAGAAATTTCATATCTTCACGAATAACGTTCAACTTCTTGCTTTTCTTGGCAATTTCATACAATTGATTTAAATGTTCCCCTTGTTGTTCCTGTTCTTCAATTAATCCAAAAGTTCAGGACTAATCAGCATTCCAAAATCTTAAGTCCCCAAATTCTATGCATAACTGCTTTCTAGAAAGTGATGAATGCAAATGGAAGAAGCTCAGTTCTGGGCCCTGTAATTATACGTTTCTTCCAAATACTTTCACTGAAGAGCTCTGTTGAGGATTTCTAAGCTGAAGAAGACCATTATGTCTTCTGCAACAGGAGGAAGAAGGAAACGGGTTCCAGAAATTCTACATCTAGCTAGGGGGAACAATTTGTGTTTTTTTCAAACGTATCCTTTTTTTTTTCAGTGAACGTGTTTCTCATGCCACACTAGTAGAATAGCTACACCATCTTTCAGTGATTGCACTAGTTTGCTCAAAGGAATTATTCAAGTTTTCTTCTAGAATTGTTGTTATATCAGTATTTTTCACTAAACATATGTTCTCATGTTCTCATCATTGCTTCAATTAAAATAATTAGAAGAGCTAACTTCAATCTGTTGCTGGCACTTCTTTCATCACAAATCTAGTTCTCCGAGTGGTTTTGTAACTCTTTTAAAACTGATTTCCTTTGTGAACAAATGGTATGAATTAAAATAAAAATACAGACAGATTTCCTGAAAGCTGAAGGGAAAACATTATATCTATATATATTTTGGAGGCAGCAGCTAGGTTTTACATAAATGTATAGTTTAAGAACATATTTGAAAGTTTTGCCTACAATACTATATTGAAAATGATAGGAACTTTTTTAAAAAAAGAGATACAGTTGCAGAAGTAGTTACGCTTGCATTACACAGTTGTTGGTATTCCTACTGTAATTTAACATTTTAATCAGAAATCTAATATTTGATCAGTGAGAAAAAATACTATCACTTCCATGGTAAAATATGCACACTGCTCAATTTGATATGACGATGAAAGTGGTGGTAGTCAAACATTGATAAAACTAGCCATGTTTTTGTAATGTCAGCTGTTTCATGACAATACTGATATCATATCTGATATAAGGGAGATGTAAGATTCAGGCTGTTCCCGCAACTGTTATTTAGTGTTGGGATTTATTTTTTATGCTTCTCCATTATTCTGTTTGTTCTAAAAATAAATCTTGTACAAATGAATTAAGCTCTGTGTTTGTAGCCCTGTGGAATTTAGAAATGTCTTTAGGGCCTTTGTAAATGTATGAAATTAAGAACCAAGGGTTTAAGGGTTGAGTGAAGGTACATCAATTGGCTTTATTGGAGGAGAAATATATGACTGAGTTGAGATGCATCACTATTAGAAGTAAAAGAAAGCTTTCTTGAGGACTCTGCTCTATAAAACAGATTTATGATTGTTTCCTATTAACTCAAGAATATGAATTTCTGAAGCAGGCATGCAGAAAAGATACAAGTGAATATTGAAAGGCCCTGTTTTAATTACAGGGTGAGGGAAGAGAGTTTGTTTCAGAGGCCAACAATAAATCTGTTTTCCATATATGGGATTTCAGTTCTTTCATTATGTTCAGCATATAAAGACAATTTTTTTTTTTAAAAAAAAGCAAGCCCCATTGAATCAAATGGACCTTAATCGTAGGAAATGGAGTTAATTACTGTATATAGCAGTGATGGCGAACCTTTTCGACACTGAGTGCCCAAACCGGAATGTGCGTGCATGTGCGTGTGCTGGAGTGCCGGAAACCCGAAGACCAGCTGGCTGGTGCATGCTTGTTTTGTGGCCGTTTTTTCAGCCAGGAAAATGGCCCCAAAACAGCCTGAAAACAGCCCTAAAAAGGCCCCAAAACAGCCCAGAAAATGGCCATTATTGGGCTATTTTCAGGCCATGAAGACCAGCTGGCCAGCATGCATGAGGGGCAGCTGGCGATGGCACATGTGCCCACAGAGAAGGCTCTGCGTGCTACCTCTGGCAAGCGTGCCATAGGTTTGCCATGACGGATATATAGGTTCCCGGTAGTAGATATATTTGTTTTGCCCTGCTCTAGTTTTGTCTTGCTTAATTAGTTTTACATATTTCGAAAGCAACACACAAGCCTACTAAATTAAATATGCATGCTACAGAAAGTCATTTCATTTTCTGAATTTTTTCTGATTCTGAGGAGTGGGCAGAGTTCAGTCTAGCTAGATTTAAAAAGTCCATGGGAGTGGAAATAAGCAATTAACAGTTTGGATTCTTCTACCGGTAAGTATTAATGGGAACAACATAATTAGATGCATATTACTATTTGAATTTGTGTATGTACAATTCTGGATACTCATTGAGTTTAGTTGATTGCTTGCAGACATCTCATTACTCAGCTAGGTAACATCAGTTTGAATGTCCTCATCATTCACTCACATTGATGAGGTGACCTAGTTGGGTAATGAAATGTCTGCAAGAAAACCATCAAGCTTAGAAAGCACCAAGGTCTCCACAGTTCAACCCTGACTACAGGTATTCTTTTCTATTGGAATATATGCAGCTTCCTATGACATTAAGCAAAAGAGAGCACTTTCTAATCTTCCTAATTTCTTTTTCTTCTAGACATTATTCCATCCCAACAGTGGTGCAGCTGGAAAATACGGAGAAATACAGTCTCTTCGGTTGGACCAATATAAAGCCTTTTATCTTACAGGTACATTATTTATTGGGGTTTATTATGTATTTCTGAATATTCCCATAGTGTATTCGTCTAGTAATGTGTTTAAAAGTAATGAAATGTGAATAAAAGAAATTTTTACAAGTTAGTTATTACTAAGCCTTAGTTTCAAAACGTGTTAGTGTCCTAGCAATTATTTGTTTCCAGCTCTTCTCCAAAGGGAGGAATTTTAAAATAATGTTCTACACGAAAGTAATTCAAGAAAGTAAAACAAGAAAGTAATTCCACAGAATTTATTTTTGAAAAATACACTGAATAAAGACAGAAGCATCAACAAAAAATGATGGTTTTATAATGTCGTATTATATGGCATCTGAGTTTATTCTGGTTAGGGAGTAGACTCTCTGTTTTGCCATGGTTCATACCACTATGCCGAAATTCTAGTAAAAAGTTTGATTTTGTTGAGTATTTTATTTCTGGATTTCAATAGAGGAGCATTGGGAATTACATGAGAATTCCATGGACAAAGCTGGAATGGAGAAAATATTTAAGAAGATATGTAGTGAAACCTTGGTATGAAAACTGCTGCCTAATGGGAGTTCAAGAACTCAGCCTTTGAGAAAAGGAATGTTGACTGGCATCCTGGGTGTTATAGGCTGGTGGTTCTTGAGGTGTATACTTGGTCTGGAGGTTCAATTCTGAGATCCAGGTTCTCCAGGTACTGTACTTTTAAGGGAGACAAAATATACAGCTCCCTCTGGGCTTATGTTTCATTTTTTCTCAGACTTTTACTGACGTTTTAGAGGATTTCAATTTATATTCCACCATGCTCACTGAAGCTTACTATTCACACAGTTGAAGAACCAGCTGTGAACTGTGAAGTTTACTCTTGACTGGCTCATACCTTCCAGCCATGAAAGGATCAACTTCCCCCCTCCTCCCTCTGGCCAGGCAGTCACATATCCCGTGTCTTCGGAGGAAAGAAAAAGCATGTGAAAAGAAAAAATTAAACAACAATATGATATGTTCCTAGGGACATCTGCTCCTTTTTAAAACAGCATTTAAAAAGCAAAACAACAGGACAATTTGATAGTCTTCCGTATGTCTCTTATTTTGGAATAGAGATATAAATCCTATAAAAGCCTATAGACACTTGCAGGGGTTGAGCTTCTGAGCTATAATTACCAGGTTCTTGCCTTGTTCTCTGCCAGATGGCATAGATATCATTGCATACAAACAATGGCATTACCTTTCCTCCCACAGTGTTTTCCCAGTGACTCCTCCAGAAGTCTATAGTTAGAGTCCTAATGTGTTTCTTTTTCTATGTCCTACCTACGGTACTTTTTCTCAGCAGAAAAAAAAGACCCAAACCCAAAAATAATGAAGGAGATGCATACATTGTCAAAGAGAAGACAAATACATAAAAAGCACATTTAACAAAAATTGAAAAAATATAACTAATGTCATTGTAAAAATATTTACAATTTTGCATAATTACTAATGTTCAAATATGTACATTTCTAATACATTTATATACCATCATTTTAACTTACTGTATTCTGTATAAATGTATTCCATATTTTATTGTGCTTGTCAATACAAATTTACCTCTATAAGCAATCCACTTATAAATGGCAAGTGCAGTCAAGTCTTCAGTCCATTGAGTGAAAGAGGTCATTTAATTATTTTTCCAATCTTGCAATATCAGTCTTTTAGCCATAATAAAGACACAGAGAATCCATTTACATTGTCCAATTGTCACATTCCATGTAATAGATATGTAATTCAAAAGAATATTATCCTTAGAAAAGTATTGCTTTTGTTACACAATCATGTTTATATAGTCTACTACCTTCTAAAATTTGGTAAGTGTAAGACATTGTAGAAAATGTTTTAAAGAAACATTATCCTTAGTACATCTCCAATAAAATTCTGTTTTTCATAACTCTTTTCTATACAAATGTAATGGGGTCCAATAACTTCTAAATATTTGTTGTTGTTGTTGTTGTTGCATACGTTGTAATTTGAGGTCATTGGCATTCTTGCTAAAGAACTTAAGACACTCTCCCATTGTCTAGGCAATATAGGATCCTTTAATTATTTATTGCATTGTTTTCTTAAATGCAATAATTTTATTAAATTATTGATAAGAAATAGCTAAAAAACTAATGGTAGGGGTTTTAAAGTTTTAAACAATTTAACGTTATTCTAATATCTCAGGTATCCCAGGAGCTAAAAATTTTGCTTGTCCAGACAATGTTGTTAAAAAAATCTTGTAACTGTAAAGGTTGTCATTGGGTGATACCTGATAGATATCTATCTCTTAACACATCATATATTTTAAAAATATCATCATCTATCAATTGGTTCAAAGTCAGTACCCCCAATTCCATCCATTTTTTCCATATTACCATCTTTTCCCCAATTTTTAATTTTGGGTTTCCCCATAAAATCAATTTTGGTACAGCAAAAAGGTATCTGTGTCCTTTTCTTAATGCTTGGCACTTTTCAGTTGTGATGGAAAGAATTCCTTTCAGCAATCTAGTATTGATTTTCATCTCTTCTTTTTCCATTCCATCACCAGGTTACACAATCTGGATGCGTTTATGACTACCAGATAAAGCAAAGTAGTAAACCCTGTAATAGGGCTTAAATAATGTGCTATTAGATTATGCCAGTGATCAAAACCAGCTGACCAGTCAGATTTAATGATTGTGCATGTACTCTTGTTTGAGGAACAGGAATCCTAAGCTATATGGTGGTTCTATTGCAGGAACCCTTGCATTACATATTTCACAGATTTTAAGCATATGAAGCTCAAAAGAAGCATCTTGCAGGTAGTGAAATAGTTACTGTATTTTTCGGAGTATAAGATAAATCCCCTCTAAAAGAGTGTGGTGTGTATTATACATTGAATATAGCTATTTTTGGCCTCCCGAAGCCCTGACCCCGCATCTCATTTTTGTGAAAAACAGGTTTGTTTTTGCCTTCCCCCACCCCTCAGGAGCACTCTGCAGGTTTCAGGGGGGCTGGGGGAAGGGAAAAATGTCCCCATTTTGGTGAAAAATGGGGGCATTTTTGTCTTCCCCAAGCCCTGTTGAAGCCTGCAGAGTGCTCCTGGGGGCCGGGAAGGACAAAAGCTTTTTTTCCTGATTTACCTCTTTGAAATCTTGGTGCATCTTATACACCGGTGCATCTTATAGTCCGAAAAATACGGTAATCACTAAATTATAGGTGATAACGCTATACTTTTTTTTTTTTTATTGCCGGCCACATTTTAATAAGGAAAAAAAAGTTTGGAGGAGGGGGATAGATCTGTTTTATTTGTTTCTGATAAAATACATTCATCTGATTAGCAGATCTGAAAGACAAACCAGTGTCTCCTGTCTTGCAATACTACAAAAAAAGTTCCCAAGATGATCTTTGCGTGTTGAGGTTGGTCTGGCTGGATCAAAGGCGTAACACAAATCTGAGAGCAGATTTCCAACAATGGAATTGCATAGAATGACTTTGAATGCTGATGGGATATGTCTTTGAGGCTAAATTCTCACATATGCAGTCATCTATTTGGCAAAATGTTGTGGGGGAATATGCACTCTGCCTTGTACAAACAATCATGGAAGATTTCATCCTGGTAATAACACATGTCTCTAACAGGAGTGGAAAAACAGGTATTGGATACTTGAAGATTAGTGGAACTGCAAAATATCTCCATGGGATCCTAGACCTACTCTCTGTAGAAGTCTTACCTTGGTTGTTAGAACAGTTGGCCAAGAAATCCATCAGCGGTATCTCCACATGCCGAAAAAAGGAATGTGTGCACTAAGGAAAGCTATTCTACTGATGGCTTATCTAGATGGAGTAGGCATAGAGACTATGCCTTGAACTGCCATTCTCTTGAACTACCACTTCTGGGACTAGTGGATTAAAATACAGGACACACACATTTCACTTTTTGATCTTGAGCCAAAGTAGCCAAAGTGGCTTGGTGACATTCCAACTGTTCAGATATAAAACCCATCATTAAATTATCTCATGCTATATCATGCACCCCATAAAAATGTCTTGGAAACTGGAAGAAGCTGGAACTAAATCCCAGTGGCTTCTTATCTTATACTGTAGCTTCAACAATGTCTGGACTATAAATCCAATAAGTACCATGATAAAGTTCAATATGCTTTGAAAACTGTAAAGAGTTCCACCTGGATTTTGGCCTTACACCACAACTTCATTGGCGAGCATCCCAGGCAATTACTAGAAGTTCTCATGGGAAGCACTGCTTATTAATAGGATTAGGTTGAGAAATAGCATGTCATAAGATATGCTTTTTTGGATCTCTCCATCAATCCAGTAAGATGGAGATGGAGCCCAAACATATGGCACAAAATCACTGAACTGCTGGTTCCTTATTTATATCCAAGGCAGTTAGTGGGATGGTGCAGAACCAGACAGGTCTGCACTGGACAAGTTGTTGAAACAAGGGATGTTAGGCATTCAATCATCTTTGGTTGCCTCGAAGGAAAACGGCTTTTCTGACTCCATCAAGATATGTTCCTATAGGATGTTAAATTTTGCAGGATTGTTTGGGGAGCAATTTAGACAGTTTAACATATAAAAAAACCTCTTTTTCCATTCCTGTAGTTCCATAAGTAATATTTTTTAAAGTAAGTAAGGAAAGTAAGGAAACTTACAATAGTGCAACCTCCCCAAAAAGTTATTTACAACTAATCCTTGAAGTTACTACTGCCATTTCACCACACCCAGTTATATTTAAAGCACTTAACAACTGGCCCAAATAAAAACTGGTTATTATGTCCTGTGATCGTAATTTGCAACTTCTTTTTCCTGGTTTCCAGCAAAAAATGCCATTTAGGAGAAGACATTCACTTAATAAGCACATGGTTCATTTAACAATCATGTGGTTCAATTAATGACCACGATGACTCGCTTTACAACCATCATTAAAACAGTCATGAAATCAAATCAGGTCATATGGTGACCTGCTTAATGCCATGATGACTTGCAACCAAAATTCTGGATTCAGTTGTGATAAGTGTGTTGAATGAAAACTAGAAATGTCAAAAACTAGAAATGTAATGCGTATCTATGCACGAGTCATATATTTGTATTTTAGTGAACTCTCTTCTGAAATCTCAAGTAATACGTTACCATTTTCACTGCAGTTAATTACGTAAATGTTGTTGACTGTTACAAACCATAATTGATATCTGTATTCATTAATAATTTATCCATGTTCTTTATGCAGTAGAAAAGCATTTCCACAATTTTTCAGGATCAAATCCCCTTTTGTAATGCTTATACTTCTCCACCTATGATTTAAACTAACTCCCCTTTTAATAACTCATTAAATTTGTAATTAAAAATAAGTACAAAAACTTAATAGATTTTTTTAATGTGTGTGTATATAAACATTAATGAAAATGTGAATTGGCATGAAAGGAGAAGTATACCAGATTAAAGAAGTACTTTAATCTGAAAGATGCTGCTGCTTTTTCTTTATGAATTTAAAAAGGTTGAAAACCACAATATGTAGTGCAGATCAGTTTTGAAATCCAGTTATTCCTTTTTTTGTTTGTACTGTAAGTTTAAAACCTTCTTTTTGACAAATGTACATAAAAAACAGAAAGATAAATTCCCCTTTCCCAATTCCTCAAGCTAATTATCCAAATTTGCTCCAGGCTTGAATTTGTGAAATGTTTTTGTGTTTGAATCATGTTTTATATTGAATGCTTGTTCTTGCAAAACATCTGGCAGAGAATGGATTATAATTTATGACTAGGGTTGCTAGAAATGTCTGGGAAATAGGAGATGAATTTGGCTATTCTTCTGCAAGGCAGTCCTGGGGAAACACAACTTTGCCCTTTACATCTTTATAATTTTAGCCTTCATTTTCAATGATGAAAACAGGGAAAGTTGGTCATCTCAGTTTGCATTCAATATTTCCAAAACTGGATTATTCTCCCCTGCAAGCTATTTTTTGTGACTTTGCATTTGGTTTCACATTTGTAGAGTTTTTCATGTAACTTTTGAATGGAAGTCGTTTAGATTCAAGAATGTCAATCGTATGTGCCAGTGAAAGGTTTAGTCTGTGGACACATCAGACAACACTCCTTGTTTGCTTGAGGAAAAAATTCTTTTTCACTATTCAGTTCAAATCTGAAAACCAGGAATTATATGAAACAAGGTTTTTTAATGACTTACTTCCAAATAGATATAAAAACTGCGAAAGATACTAATTTAAAACATCAATCTTCACAAAACTTGATAAAACTTTGATAATCAAATTCAACAAATAACTCAGATAAACTGGAACAGCCAATAGTTGTCTTTATATGAAATGAATTGCGATTAAAACTTACTTCTTTATCTTTTATCAGCATGATGGTTTGAATCCCTAGCGCTGCGTAACGGAGTGAATTCCATTACTTGCCCCAGCTTCTGCCAACCTACCAGTTCGAAAGCATGTAAAAATGCAAGTAGAAAAATAGGAACCACCTTTGGTGGGAAGGTAACAGTGTTCCGTGGGCTTTCGGTGTTTAGTCATGCCACCCACATGACCACAGAGATGTCTTCGGACAGCGCTGGCTCTTCAGCTTTGAAACGGAGATGAGCACTGCCCCCCAAAGTCAAGAAAAACTAGCACATATGTGCAAGGGGAACCTTTATCTTTACCAACATGACAAATCCAGAGCAACAGCTAAGCACTATTGCCTGGGCGTGGCTCTATGAGGTGTTTTTTCTTTTCATTTTCTTTAAAAACAAATTTAAAACTTCAGTTATTTTATTAGTTGAAGCCTCTGATATGGTTAGTTAGTTACCTTTGAGACAACCAATTGCACCATGAATCAATGAAATGTATAGAAACAGCATCCACATTGTGCTACATCAATGCTATAGCATCCTACTGCATTGTGAAGAAAGAAGTTGCCAGTTCATCCATTGGTTTAAATGTAAATTCTTTCACCAAGGCATTGGTGTAACATTTCACAGATCTATCGGGAGAAACTGTGATAAGTTTTCCTTGTTTTCAGCAGATTCTAGCCCAAATAACATCAGATGTTTTCAAGTTAAGATTTTCTTCTAAATTGAGTGGCGCAGTGGCGCAGTGGTTAAATGCAGCACTGCAGGCTACTGCTAGATCAGCAGTTCAGCGGTTCAAATCTCACCGGCTCAGGGTTGACTCAGCCTTCCATCCTTCCGAGGTGGGTAAAATGAGGACCCAGATTGTTGGGGGCAATATGCTGACTCTCTGTAAACCACTTAGAGAGGGCTGAAAGCCCTATGAAGCAGTATATAAGTCTACTGCTATTGCTATATTGCTATTCATGAGAGGCTATTTCTTTGGCAAATGCTTTGACAAAAAGTTCCAATGGAATCAAATTTGCATTTTGCATATTTTAAGCTAGAGCACCAAGACTGTGGTTTGCTGTATCACTCAAGATGCTTACATGATCCCATGGCTTTATTGTGTGCTGTGCTTTGAGGACAGCCAAACCTATTTTTTGCTCATGGTAATGAACCCATCTTACAGCCAACCCTCCGGTTATGACAGGCCAATTGACAAACATTCAAAATGATGAGATTCCCAGAAATCTACATACCGTATGTCCCTGTTTCAAAGATACAATGGCTGCAGCAGGCCTGCAGTTGTTCACCCTTACGACCCACAACAGGGTTGCTGTGGCACTCCCACACTTCTTTCCCGCATTCTTATCCTACTAGAACCCTGCAACACTTGGGCCTGCTCCCCACACACCCATCATACTCCATACTTACCTCCTGAAACTCTCCAGACCTCAGGTGGTGGAAGGAGGCAGGCCATGGGATCCTGGGCTGTCCAGTAACGATCTAAATTCAGCCGACATTTGTGGGTGGGACAAAATGGCGGATGCCAGTGAAATTGCTTCATTGTCCTGCCTTAGAGGGGTCTGTACAGGGCTGCAGAATCTTCTGAATGCTACAGAAAGCTTTTGCAGCACTATGCATACCATAAGAAAGCAGAAAAATCAAGCAGTTTGTGCCCGGGCCGTGTGACAGGGACCCAAATGGCGCAGTATTTTTTCTCTGTCCACCAACAGGCGGGAACAAAATGTGGGGGCCACCAGACAAGCTGCTTCATTCTGCTGCCTCAAAGAGGTCTCCACATTGCTCCAGAAGCTTGTTGCAGAGTTTGTTAAGGCAGCAAAATGAAGCAATTTGCTCTCTGGCTGTGTGGAAGCGACTCGAATTATGCTGCTATTTTGTGGGTGGGACAAAATAACAGCCGCTTTCGGACCATGCCATGTGGCTATGCAAAGAAAGAAGCCATTCCAGTGCTCTGGAAGACCTCGGAGTCTTCCGAGGTGAGGTGGGCACCAGGCCTAAGGCCTGGGAAGACCCAGTAGATCTAGGGAAAATCCTCTTGAGACCCAAGATGTGGGAAGTGGAGCACAGGGCGTCCCGAGAGAAGCCTTGGGAGGGCCAGGCAGTGAGGCCTGGGTTTATACTAGGCCTCTGACGGCCTCACTTTCCATTTAACAACCTGCATGTTTGTTTTATATTTCATTGGGGAGAGCAGGGATGCAGAGGCTCATTAGGTGATATGTTTCTCCTAACGACTGCCACAACATGCAGCTGTAATGGTCAGGCTCCATTATGGTTGTATCTCGAGGACAACCTGTACTAAAATCTTCAGTGTACCAAATATTAACAAACATGTTAGGAAACACTGAGAAACACTGGTCTCTCCGCTAAACACCCATACTTCTATGCAAAATAGTAGAAATTAGAAAATAACTCCAATTCATTGTATACATTTGAAGGTTATTTTTTATGCTTTTTCTCTTTCTAAAAATATACCGTTACTTAGAATTTTTTCAGACCCCTCCATGGGGCCCTAGTTAAGGAACACATACAGTTGGCAATTTAACTCAAAAGTACTTTAAAATGCAGGAAAACAGCACCTTATTTCCTTTGGTGGGAAGTTGGAAAAATTCTGCCCTCTTCACTCTTTTATTGCTTTAGAAATAAATGTCCTCTACCATTAATCTGAAACAATTTGTTCGGCTAAAAATGTATTATCATTGGCATATTCATTTGTTCAATTTCCTAGAAATACCTCCTATACTTCCATGTTTTACTGCTAGTTTACAAGACAAAAATCCCACCATAATGATGCATGGATGACATCCTGTTGCAATTTGGCTGCAAATATTTTATTAAAATAGTTAGCTGTTGAGTTTAGAATTGAGGAATTCTATCACAAAAGTTACATTCCTTTTCCTTCTGCTAAAATCATTACATTAAGTGCTTACCCTTTGGCTGGACTTGTATAGGTAGTCCTCGACTTACAACAGTTTGTTTAGTGACTGTTCAAAGTTACAATGACACTAGAAAAAGTGACTTCAAATCATTTTTCACACAACTGTTGCAGCATCTGTGGTCATGTGACAAAATTCAGACGTTTGGCAACTGGCTCATTTTTATAATGGTTGCTGTGTCCTGGGTTCCCGTGGCCCCCTTTTGTGACCTTCTGACAAAGTCAGTGGGGAAACCAGACTCAATGACCATGTTACTATCATAACAAATAGTGGTTCACTTAACAACTGGAAAGAAAGGTGGTAAAAGAGGACAAAATTCACTTAACAACTATCTTGCTTAGCAATGGAAATTTTGAGCTGAATTGTGGTTGTACATCAAGGACTATTTTACGCTCAGCCTACAGTAGTACACCCAGATTATTCTTTCTCATAATGTAGAATAGTTGCCTGAAAAGATAGAAGTTAAAAAAGAATGTGGGTGATTTCTCTCTTTCTAGGTGGTGCCAAAGCATGTGATGGAAGCATTGGTCAGGAAGTACATCATCAGCCACCTCTCATTTTTAACTTGCAGCATGATATTCAAGAGCAAGAGCCGATGGACATTCACAGTGCCGAGTATCGTTCTGTCTTGCCATTGGTAAATAAGGCCCTTATGGATATTCTTCAGGATATTGCATCAGATAATGCCTCTATAGCAGATTATTCTCACGATGCAGATGCGATCCCCTGTTGCAACCCCCAACACTTGGCCTGCAGATGTGAATCGACTTATGCTAACTTATCTTTGGAAAAATGTTAAACAACTTCGGAGTTTGCAACCTTCTGTGTCCTCCCAGGAGAGCTAGAAGTCACGTGGACAAAACTGCTACAAAATTTACAACATTCTAGGTTTGGATTTTATATAATAATTTATCTCATATCTTTGTACAAAATTTAGCTTCTCATAACTGAAATATGGGACTAAAATGTTTAGACAGCTATTTGATACCCCTTGATTAAGTCTAGCTCAGCTAGAATCCAACACAATGTTATGTCTCCTTGTACTCTTTGTGCATCACAGAAAAGCAGGAATAAGGATGTCAGAGCATAAGATAAGAGTACAAATTATAATAGGCAGGAAAGAATTATATTGCTAAGATTGCTAATTTTTACCAGAAGCCATGTGCGTTGCCTAAAGTCAGATTATAATCCAAGTACCTCAGAAAGTTTGGCATTACAGGCCACAAATGTCATTCAAAGTTAAACAAAGTTAAATTCGAACAGTTAAGACAGTTGTGATTCTTTTGTAATAATACAATATGCTTAATTTTTTATCAACATTTGCCAATATTACATGTAACAGTTTCTTTTTACAGTTATTCAGGCTCATAATATATTTGTATTTTTTTTAAAAATAGCTCTCATTGTTGAACTCTCAACTTGATTTGGGTCTGATTTTCCCTGAAAAGAATAATTGAGGCTGGGGAAATAGGCTGCCACTGTGTAGAATAAGTAAAAAAAAGGTTACCATGAATTTACATGTGCACAGTTTATCCATCCAACTTAATCTGGACTAATATCAAGGTTTTTCTTACCCCTTTGCTGCACTTTGCTTCCCTGAAAGAGAAGTGTATGATGGGAGTTATGTATGCATTTATTTTCCAGGTTACGTAAGAAGGAGGAACATGAGTGGAGACACAGCTCCTGTTAACCTCATGATGATTTTATTGACAAATATTTCAGCATTCCTCCAACTCTGAAAGTTGGGGATTTCCTTTTATTCAAGTAGATAATTGCAAAAATATTCTGCATGGGTAAATTAATCATGCGTATACTGTACAAAGACATAAATCAGTAGGTTCTTTTATAAGTACATTTATACATGACATAAATAAAAGAGCTAGCTGGAGTATAAAATTGGAGCTTCAATTAGCTGCATTTATATTGTGGTTCTTGAGAACAATGTGCATATACAGTACATTGATACCAACCATAGAGCATTTTAAGAAAATACACAAAAGAGGGGCAGATAAACGTCAACTAGGAAAAGAGAAACATACTGTGTGAAAAGCACTGGAGCGTCTCTGGTTTGCCCCACATTTGTGGGTTCTTCTACATTCCCCCTTGTTTTTCCAAACTACCTCCCATCCGCCGCTGTGTGTTGTGTTGTTTGCCTCTCCTCATGATCGCTTCACTTTGTTCGTCCGGCTTCCACGGCATAAGATTATCTACCAAAATCAAAACAGAACGGCCTTACTTTCCCTGGTCATGTGCCGTTGAGCATGGGGTGCTGCAAACAGGCTTGAGAGGCATGCAGAGGGAAGCAGCGGGGAGATGAAAGCCACAGCACCGTTTCACTTTTGGCAAAGCTGATGGGTTTCTGGGCCTCCCTTAGGGCTTTGTCCTCAAATGACAGAAAAAAAATCTGGCTCAGAAATAAATGTGTGTTGAGATCTGGATTAAAAATATATTCCTAGGTTAAATAATGATTCCTGCATGTGTTTCTCTGCAAACTTAGGACAAGCTGGATCAACTTGAAGAATCAGTTATTTAAATATAGAAGAAAGAAGTAAGGCAACAGCTCAGCATACTGGCTAAAAGTAACATGTGTAGTGTGGGTTTGTCACTCCAAAGGCCATCATGAGAAGTTGTCAATTAGAGTACAAAACAAACGGAGTTCTTGTTAAGACACAGCAAGCCTTCCCAGCTCTTTGAAAAGTGTCTGATGCTTCTGTTTCTTAAAATCTTAGTCATACTGTTGGGGCTTTACTTCATCAGCTTTTGATCCTGGTAGCAGTAACCCGTAGTTTACTTTCTGACATTGCAAAGTAACAACTCAACCAGCAAGAGAATATGGTACTGCTGCTGGTACCTACCTTATGCAATATAGTGTAACGCTGAACATGCCCCATAAACTATTTCACAAGCAAAAACTAGATGGCTGTCCTAAAACATTCGTGTTTAAAGGCAGATCAAGGCTTCTTTGACAGTTTCCATAATTGTTCCCATTTTCCATAGAGAGAAGACAACTTTTATCATATCCAGAACAATTCCAAGTAGAGAATGATACATACCATCATCTCTGTAATGACATGTTTATTGTATTGGTTCACAATAAAAGACAAATAAGGCACATCAGAAAATGTGGTATATTAGTGGATTATGGATCTCTGGTAATAGTATGTACTGTTTTTATTATTATTTATAATAATAATCTGGCTAACTTTGTGCCAAATCTTAATATTATGTATTTCATTTAGCATCTTATGTCTAGTATGGTAAAATTAATTCAACTCCCTTTGGCCTTGTGCACATCTACATAGTTTTCTTGGCAATAATATATTTCCAAATATAGACAATACTCCTTCCTCCTCCTATTTCCCCCCACATCAACAACCACTCTGTGAGTTGAGTTTGGTTAACAGAGGGTAACTAGCGAACAAGTTGTACTGAAAGTGGATAGAGACTGCAACCCTTCACCGTATAATGTATAAGGGCCCATTTTAAGGAATATTGGATTTGAAAGGTTTTCGTCTCTGATTTCAGGATGGAAGCTATTAATGGGAGAGAAACCAATGGAAATAATTTCTCCATTGCTTCTGCTCTCCTGATAGAAACCTAGCAGGACTTAGAAACCTTGTAAGTTTTGATGTTGAAGTGTTAGAAAATGAAAGGTAGGATTAATTTGGATAAGAAACACAGAGACGTCTTACAGGCTGTTTATTGAAGTCCCATGTTTCTGTTTATTAAATTTAGATGCTGTCCAAATCGCATCAACTCTGGGAGGTTTACAAAATGTTTTATTAAAAAAAAAGTTCAAACAACATAACATAAAACAAAAAAGAGCAAAGATGGCAAACCCAGATAGGGCCGAAGAAAAAAGAAAAGAAAAGGGAACTTCAATCACATTTGCCTTCTTTGCTGCTTTCTTTTCATTCCCCCCCTTCATTTTTATAGCTTTCTTATTCTATGAATAAGATACTTCATTACCACAATTTTATACTGTATTAAGGGTGGTTCATAAGTAGCATGGCAAAAAACAAAGGATAAGAGCATGTCTACCAATCAAGTTACTATGATTTGAGAGGCATGACGAATGCTGAAGAGCTGTAATCCACCCTCTTTTATTATGGCAGCCAAAGGTAAAATAAAACACATGCTTAAAAACAAATGGAATAGCTCCTTAATGACCTGAACAATATTGCTGAGCACAATTAAAGCAATTGCTAATTAAAGCTACTGTATCTGGGCTGCAGAAATCTAGATTACAACTAGATGGTTTTTTTTTAAAGGTACAAGTTTCATAATTTTATAATAGTAAAAAATTGCAACACTAGCACCAAGCACAACAAAGAAAGTAATTATACAATAAAGAACAAAAATCTAAATACTATATGTTAATTAAAATTGGATAAATGTGAGTGAATGGCCACTGCATGGCAGCAAAGAGCTATTGTGAATTTCTGTATCAACTTGCTGTCATGTAATAGCCATCCTAAAATTTCACAACCCAGATAGGATAGCTCTGGAAGCGCAGTAAATTTATATGCCCATGTATTAATGTAAGAAATAAAAACTGGAAGAATACAAATCAGTTTTAAATATAATACTTTTTTTTTCCTGAATACTGGTCATGGCCATGATTACCTTTAGAAAAAAAAAAGGGGGGGGGAAACAAACAGAATTCCAAACTGGCTTAGCTAATAAGAAATAGAAGGGACATATTTAGCTCTGGCTTCCCTGTAGAATCAGCAATAAATACCCAAATTGAATGCCTTTGGTCTCCAGTTTTAAGTATAATTTTCCACTTGCTGTAGCTTTAATGGAAAATACACACAAGTCCATGCACAGGCCTAGTGAGCAAAGAAACATGTGTCTGGCCAAGCCATTACAGATAGTCCTTGACTTACAACCATTTGTTTAGTGATAACAGCACTGAAAAATTGAATGGCCGTTTTTCACAGTTTATGACCGTTGCAGCATCCTAATAGCCACCTGGTTAAAATTCAGGCGCTTGACAACTGGCTCATATTTATGACGGTTGCAAGTGTCCCAAGGTCATCTGATCACCTTTTGCGACTTTCTGACAAGCAAAGTGAATGCGGAAGCCAGATTCACTTAACAACATGTTACTAACTTAACAACTGCAGTGTTTCATTTAAAAACTATGACAAGAAAGCTCATAAAATGGGGCAAAAAAATCACTTAACAATTAGTAATGGAACTTTGGGGCTCAGTTGTGCTCCTACGTCGAAGACTACCAGTAGAGCCACCCTTTGTACATCTGAAGAGGAAATCTTTGGGTCCAACTGATGTCCTAGAGAGAACCACTCTTTTCAGAAGTTATAGACTGTTGGGATGGTCAAGGCAGGGGCAGAAAGGAGAATAAATAACAGCAGAAGCAAGATAGGTATCTAAGCAAGCTGTAGTATGGAGGTACCCACGACTTCCTTGCTACTTCCAATTAAAATCACTTGAGAAGGATGGGATCACTTGGAGGACTTTGTGCAGCACTAGTTCTAGGAAGGCTGCTCCCTCATGATCCCATTCTATATTTGGGATTTTTCATCTCATGTAAAGAACAAGCTGGAGCAGCCCCTACTCTCAGGAAACTTACACATCTTAGAAAAGGGGTTGTTAATTCTTAGGAACAAGAAAGCCTTGACTGAAAGGCCTGGCAAGATTTAAAAAAAAAATTCACAAGAAGGAAAAATGCTAGCCCATATAAATAGCCTATTCGAAAAATGTCTCCATGAAAAAAGTTTTAAGTCCTCCCTTTTAAAGGTCAAGTGAGTACAACTCCTCTTCTTCCTTTCCCCCATTCTATTTTGGATAATGCACCTGCATCAACAGAGACAGAGAAGCTTCAAAGATACAGCCTCAATGCTCAGTGAACTCAGGCATCTGCTGGGATGGCTGCTCCGTCTCTTTTTGCCTTGTGCTCCTGACATTTTACTTACTTATTTATATTTCATCTTTCTTAACCTCTTATCTCCCTCAGAAATAGGCAGCCTCTGTCTCTAGTAGTCCAGGCATGGCAGTAAATCCCCCTGACCATTGCAACGCCAACAAATGACGCTGGGGAGCTCATTCCCCTGATCTCGCTACAAACATCCTCCTCCCACTATGGAGAAAGGGCAGGACAGGGAGGTACAAAGCTTCAGGCAACCTTGATGCTGCATTCACCAACCAAAGGGGTGTAGAAAATAAGGCAAGTGGAATCATATGGGAAATACAAGTCTTCCGTCCACATTTTTGAGGCAGCAGCCCTTTGTAAGTTTCTCTTCTTTCCTGGCCTTGTTTCGAACCACTTGGAAAGCAACAAGTGTGTGAAGAGTTGCTCTGACGTCCAAAGCTTGTGCTCAGATCTGAACTACACCTTGAAGACATCATTATCTTGGGAGGATAATTTTGTAAGGATGCCAGAGGCGGCCTAGAAGTACATAACACTGCTACATGATTGAACTTCAAAAGGCATGGAACCCAGCCCTCCCTTCACCTGGCAGCCCACAGCCTGGCATAATTCGGATTCCCTATGATAAATATACTTGGAAAACAGGTTTGTAGAAGGCCTCACTCCAAAAGCCCATGGTGGGAGTCACACATCCCCTCCCCAAGTTATTTTAGAAGTGGAAAAGAGATGGCTACCAAGCAGGAGAGGAAGGGACAGATCGCTCGGAAGAAAAGACTTAAGCTTTTCTTCTCGGCACGGATTTCACAATGCTGTTTTAAGTACTCCTAATGCTCACGGGTGGAAATTCATTTTCATCATCCAGACACACTGGCCCAGTAGCAAATTCATGCTCAGGTATTATCTCTCCTCGAAGGGCTCCCCCATCCTCCGAGTAACCTGCAATGGAAGAAGACAACAGAGCTTAAAAGCCTTTAAACTAAATCTTATAGAATGATTTTTACACAGGCACCTCTCGTTCCACGTAAATTTTTGGATGGCTAGAGAGCATCAAGTGGTGGTCTGTACCTGTAATTCAACTATCACAGCACAAACATCACAATTAGGACTTTATTGTAAAAACCCTGTCCATTCACACATTCATGTGAACATAATACATGGACATTCCCAGAGGTGTCAAAGGATTTGCTATGTCTGTGAATCAACCTTCCAACATTTTGTGAACAGAAGCTTCAGAAAATTACAACAATACCAACATTTTGTACAGGTATAGGAAAGTGCCAAAGATGACAAGTAAGGCATTGAACATATTTTCATAAAAATATTTTTTTTAAATGAGAGAGAGAAACCCACAAATATGTAGCAGCGAACAATTCTGACATGACTAAAACGAGCAATCCGCAGCTTGCTGTAAATCTGGTACTGACCTGGCATCATAGAAGGGGAAGGCACTGAAGTCTGCCTAGCTACGGTAGCAGCATATGTTTGAGTTACTGGAGACAGAAGATCGTTTTCTTTGTTCTCTTCCGGCTTTACCAAGTCAAGCAAGCTAAAAGAATGTGGGCCAGGGAGAGGAGGAGGTTTGAAATAAAGGCTAGTCATTACCCAGTAACTTCTCTTTTAAATTATCCTACATTACTTCTCTACATTTTCTTTGAATTCTTGAAATAACTAAGCTGTTACCTGTGCTTCTTGATTAAAACACATTCTCCGCCATCTTGGGGATCCAGGTTGTAAATGTAAAGATGTCCACCAGATGTTGTAACTAACAGCCGAGGCAACTTTTGGATCCTAATAAAAAATGTACAGGAACATAGCTGAAATGACCTCTAAAAATCGACGCACCACCTATTTGCCCACACTAGACTTCCTGGAAAATGGATTTGTAAGGTAAAGATGCTTATGGGAGAGATTTGGCAGCCAACTTTTGCCTATTCCTCTGATTTTAGAGTCAAACAATTACTACAGTATTTTTTATTTATAGTAAGAAATATACATGGGGTAAAAAACCAGAGACATATATGCAGATATATAAACATATGATTTTGAACCTATTATAAGGCTACATTAGGCACATCAACAAGGAGGTTTTCTCCTAAATAAAGCCACCATAGTATATGTGATGCAGAGGAAAACTCACTTATTTTACTAACCAATCTACTACATGCAGTTATATTATTCTCCACGAAATCCAAAGCTTACTTTTAAAACAATGTACCGTAAGATAATTTCTTCTCCCTTTGAGATTTGGCCCAATATTTATTTATTTTTTAAAAATTATCTTGCAGCATTGGGTCATGAAACAATAGCTACAAATGGTATAACCTACATTACTATGCTCTCAAAGTGGAGGGCAACACATAATGTTTAGCATAACAAAATTAGTTTTGCCTTGTATATATTAATGCAAATGTTATGAATGCAGGATATATATCAATGCAGATAAAGTTTCGCATTTTGTGATGTTTGAAGCCTCTGTCTGCATAAGCCAGAACCAGATAAACCATGGTTTGCACACTGCCTGTGTGCCCCAGGAAGTTGCCACTATCCCTCATATATTGCCCAACAAATTAGCAATAAGCTGGGTAGCAAGGAATAAAAAGAATAAAATCTATGGGGAAATGCCCCTCCTTCTTTTGATAATTTGCAGAAGAGTAACCTCAATCAACCTAATGGACAATCAAATCATAATGAGAAAAAGATGATGATATGAGTCACCTTGTAGCGTAATAGGTGGTGAGTGAATGAATGAATGAATGAATGAATGATACTAGAATAAGATTTTCCCAGGACAGAAGATATCCAATAAATAGAGAGTGGCACTGGTACTTAAAAGTTGGCTGGATTAAAACTGTTTGGACATTTAGCTGATTTTAAGTGCCTAAAATCAAAATATGTACCACTGGTTCGTAGAATGCCAGAACCAGGAACCATTGCAAATTTGTTGATAGAATATGTTGATTATATTACATCAACTCAGTGTCCCCTCTTAGCAACCATAATATTCAGAGACTATCTTCCTAAACTCAAAGATTCATAGTAATAGTGACTGTGGGCATGAGATAAAGAAACATCTGTTACTAGGGAGAAAGACATGAAAAAATGGGGGACTGTTTTAGCCTTACTCTCAACACTATTTGATTCTCCCACACTCTGCCGTTTATGAAACATTTTCACGGGAATCAGGGTGCCTGTCCTAAATAAAATAGTTTGTCCAGCACAAATGGTAAGGCAATCCTGTTTAGTTGCTATAGCCCAGCTTACATACGTCGAGAGCACACAGATGTTCCTTTGTCCAGAGAAGTTCAGGCGCACAGTAGCAAAGGCCCGGTCTTGGCTCATCATGCCTGATACTTGAGAAGGGAGATAGTTGGTGGCAGCCATGAACATCTTGCCCATGTAGCCACTCCAGGAGGGAGGTTCTTCCGGCCGACTATGACAAACAAAATGCCTGATTATAACATTCTACTCCAGGAACATCCATACGATATAACAACAATAAGGTTCTTCATTTCCTAAAACAGATAATTTCATTATCTATCCTTCAATCCTCATCAGACTTCCCTGTTTCCCTTTCACTTCACCATTTCAGAAATGGGGACCCTCAGACGTTCCTAATACAGGAATAAAACCCTAAAACCTAATAAAATGCACAGAGGCGGATGGTGTTATGTAAATAGCAGCAACAAATCTATACTTAAAATATCATTGACACTTGCATCAGTTGTTTAATTATCTGTAACTGTTTAATATAACACTGTACGCCTAAGCTTCTTTAGACATCAATGCCAGAGATCACCGTCTATCTGTAATCATCTGGCAAGATTCTCTTGCACAGAGAAAGGGAAGGCTATAATCAATTAGCTGTGACCCACTGCATGAAATCCTATTGTAGAAGTAGTCACCGCAAACCCCTTTCTCACCAAACACTCAGAGGTGGCTCAAAACAGTATTGTGGTAGGCATAAAGCTTGAATTTCCTCCTTTAAAGCTCTCGCAGGATGAATCCCAGCTCTCAGTGAGGATAGAGGCTTTGTATAGTACAGTCTTTATTGTCATTGTACATCATGTATACAACAAAACTGGTTACTTCCAAAGGTAATTGAAAGCAACAACTTTAAAGCAACCTATGAAATCAAAGCAATCTACTGAAAGATCAGTCTAAGAAAAGCCAACATAAATGAGGGCATTTTAAAAAGCACCCACTGTACTCCAGCACTAAGTACTATTGAAGGGAAGTCATTCACAGGACAAGTGTTGTGGGAAGATTGGAGGAAGGAGTATTAGATATGATCACCGCCTCGAGTTATTTATAAAAATAACAAAACCAAATAATATAAAAGTAAATGAAACTGCCACCGCTGTGAAGGCCTACCTTCAAGTTGCCAACTGGCAATCTCCAAACCATGCCTGTTTTGTGCAGGCATCAGCAGGAGCTAGAATAAAGTAGACTGATCCTGAATGGTTTGGGGTTTGAATACTAATACCCAAATCTTCAACCTGGCTTAATAGCAGGCAAGAAGGAGCTAGCAATGATCTTTTGGCCCACTTGTGGTAAGGCAGCCCAAAAAGGATGTTGTTGTAGCATTCACCTCTGGATATTGCAAGACCAAGATGATGACAAGCTCAGCGCTTGTCATGGTAATCTATTTTTGAGGTAAGCTAGACACATATCTTAATGCTGGAATTTTTGCTGATAACAAGACGTAGCTGACACACCTGTCGAAGTGGACATAGGCACTCCTGGTCATGGAGAGTTCTACATTTATAATGGATGGATGCCATACAATCCAATGTTATCATAAAGGTACTTTTTTCCTCAATTCTGGCTTGCCTCTCTTTTGACTGCTCTCTGCTTGATGTTCAGAAGAGGAATGCAGCTGTACGTGTTCAGACAGGCATTCAAAGTAGGATACAATATATTCAAACATTCTCATTTGGTAAACAGGGGGTCAAAAGCAGTCACTTTCATTAAGAGCTCCAAGCCTTAAAACTAGTTTAAGGCCTTAAATTAGTCGCATAAAAGACTGGAAACAGCAGCAGCAAAGAACACTTTCTAGGACTGTATTAGTAACATAACTGCAACACAGCCACTATTCCAATAAAGAAGATTAAACAGGTCTAGGATAAATACTATGGCCAGGAAACCAAGCCATTGCCAGATAGCAGGTTTTTGGTCAACATTTCTGAGTCCAGCTTGAACAGCAATCCATCATTTTGCTATTCCTTGATCCCTGATTAATCCTACAACTGCTTTTACAAACCCAAGGAAATCCAGTTCTGAATCACAACGGTATCTCATTGTGTGGCTTCACAAGTGCCAGAACTACAGATGCCAATACTGCCATTTGCAATCGGCCCTTGGAAATGAGTCAGCTTGAACATATAACTACCCAAAATCCAAATCGGGGAATCAATTGGCAATAACCTGGATCTGAATGAGCCATGTTTTCCATTCTACCCACATGTTTTCAGGTATAGAGAAACTTGCTGCCTAATCAAAGCTTGAGTGATCCATGAAAAACAGTAATTGCTAAACTTTTTGTAAAGGCATGCCAAAATTGTGCACGCACACGTGTACCTCACCCACCTGCACATGTGCATGCGGGGGGGGGGGATTTTCACCCTTCCCAGGCTCTGGAGGCTTTCCTAAGGCCTGGGGAGGGTGAAAACAGCCTCCCCCGCCCCAAGACCCTCTGGAAGGTGGAATTTTTCATCCTCCCCAGGCTTCAGGAAAGCCTCCGGAGCCTGGGGAGGGTGAAAAACAGGCTCAATGGGCCAGCCAGAAGGTTGGGCCTGTTTTTCACCCTCCCTAGGCTCCAGAGGCTTTTCTGAAGCCTGGGAAGGGCAAAAACGGCTCCCCCAGCCCTCTGGAAGCCCCAAAAGCAGCTTGCCGGCGCAGGCTGGAGCTGAGGGCTGCCGTGCCAACAAATATGGCTCGGTATGCCACCTGTGGAATGTGTGCCATAGGTTCGCCATCACGGATGTAGAAAAACAATTGTAGCCGATTAAGAGAGATTACCCAATAAGCAAACCTTGGTTGTCTGTGAGCAGATCTAAACCTATTGAGGAGTATCTTTCTCAGCTTCCATCTGTCAACTACAAGACTCTGTCAAGAGAGACTTTCCAGTTCAGTGCTTAGTGGCACATGCAGCTTCATTTTGCTACCCACCTGTCAGTGAGATGCTCCAACTTAAAAATATGCACCGTCTCCGTGTTGCTTGATGCACACAAGAACTGGGAATCCATACTGAACACAAGGGAGCTGATGTTCACGTACCTAAAGTGAAGGGAAGAAAGAACCCAGGCAACTTAACTGGAATAGGAAAATGCAACAACTGGTCCGCATAAGCAAGCCTGAAAGATTTTGTAGGATGGAAGTAGGATTTTTAAAAGTCCCATGAGAACATCTCGAAAGAATTGATTAGCAATGGTGTAGCATTAAGAATATTTGGCTAGGAGCGCAGCAACCAAATTCTAACCCATTCTTAGCTGTGGTTGTTTCTTGGATGAGATTGGACCAATGACTCTCAACTAAACCTATGTCACAGGATTTATGTTGCGGAGAAAATGGGAGGAACGGGCACTGTGTAAATTACCCAGACCTCTTGGATGAAGTGGGATTACTACAATGCACCCAACATCTGGCTGCCCTTGAAAACAAATTTTGAGGCTACAGCTGGTCCAAAATACAGTCAGTCCAAATTTTGATCATGTGACCACAGGGATGCTGCAACGGCTGTTAACTGTGAAAACCAGTCATAAGTCACTTTTTTCAGTGCTTCTTACGATTTTGAATGGTCACTAAATGAATGGTTGCAAGCCAAGGACTACTTCTATATGTTCTTAAATATTCTAAGCTGCCCACTTGAAAGAACAGATTGGGGATAGATCATCACGGAGAAATCTATGTAGTAACTAGGGGGCAAGAATGACTTGATGGCACATATCAATCAATGAAGTTGCCCAGAATATTTGTTGGATTAGGCAGCCTCAGAATCCATTTGTTATTTCAAGTGAAATGCCGACATAAGAGTAGCAGACCAACCTCTTCATTCCTCTCCTGAATTCGTAGAGCTTTTGTCCTTCGGGGATGGAAAAAACACGTAAGACGGTTCCCTGAAAGGAAAGACATGAGATACAAAAGATGGAGGCAATCAGGTGGGAAGCAATAGCAGCATTTTGCTTTTGGAGAGGAGGTGCTACCTTCCTTTCGACTTTGGGTGGACAAGGGTTCTGTAGCAAGGGACACAGAAAAGTTTTGTCATCAGAGAGTCTAGTAGAGATTCTGCCAGATTAGAGCCACTTTAAGATCATGGAGTAGGATTTTTTATAGTTATGAAATAGATGGGTGTTGAGGCCCACCGGTGACTAGGGAGGAACTTGGGCCAGTCCTGGAGTCTGGAGCTCTGATGGATGCTCTGCATCGGAAGCAGAGATAGAGCCAGGGCCATCCAAATTTCCCAGCTGCCTTTGGAACTAGAAATAAGTGGGGAAGAAGAACAGCTGGGGCCTGTTCCAGATGTGCATATGCGCAGAGCTGTCAGGAGAGGAGAACAACTGAGGAACAGGAGCAGACTCAGGAAGAAAGGCACACATGGATGCTGAATGGCCCCTCCCTGGCTGGGGAATAAATAGAAGCAAAGGGGAGTGATGGTTGTAGGAGACAACAGTTCAGATTTCTTTCAGAAGATTTGCTTATCGTGATTCCTGCCTCAGAGACTGCTTGCCAGGAATTAATTTACAGCTTTGTGACTGGAAGATCCCGGCCTGGCAATTATCCAAGGAACTGTTAAGGTCTGTTACTGCAATTAACCCTTGGAAGGATTATTGCCTGGACTTTTCTATCTATAAATGCCATGAATTCACAGTAGCTAAATAAAAAGGAGGTTTTCGGGACAATGAGTCTGTTTCTTGGTTCTGCTAAGGCTGGGTCAAAACAGTGGGTTAAAACTAAGAGATACTCAATGCAACTATTTTTGTTGCTTTTTAACACAAAATGCACCCATTTCAACAATGTGAAACTGGACAGCCACAGAACTAAAGTACATGCAAACCACAAGGTTGCCTGCTTACTATTCAGTAAGGTAGAATAAATCAACAGTCCTCAGTGCCAGAAAAGGAGAGGGTCTTATTCCACACAATTGTGTTTTATCTGCCCTTTTGCTCCTCCTTGCTAGCCATCGTCCCACCTCCCCACCTGTCCCATTTTTTTAATTTGTAAGTTTCTTGGTAGGATCTAATAATTATTGTTTTTAAGTTCTCCTAGGAACAATGATAGATAGATATCAGAGCAAAGTCCATCCTACATAAACACAAAATGAATGGATGATTTTACTTTTAGCTAATGCCACAGAACATTATCAGAAAGCTGTTGCCTCTAGAGTTTACATCCGAGAAATACCGTTTAGGATTAAGCAATATGTTTGCCTAGGTCAGGTGGCTACTAATTGGGTCATTACATGCTGTCTTAGAACAAGGACTCCTGGTCTCTATGGGATTTGTTCCTGAGCAAGTATGATCTGAATGACAGAGGTTTGACCTATTTCTAGATCTATGACCTATAGCAATTTTCTGTAGATAGAGTTATACAGTATGATTAACTCTATCTACTCTGATAGCAGTCTTCAAATAACTGAAAGGTCAACATTCCTCTTATTCCTGGAATGAAGTTAGAGGAAGACAGATTTCAGTCAAAGGTTAGACTAGTCTTACTCTTAAGAATATGGTTCAACAATGAAATTAATTACCCAGAAAGGTGATAAGACTCTTCATTGGAAGAGGTCAAGAGATCCATTCAATGTATCTCTTAACCTCTTTAGGGATGCTTTAAATCTGAATTCCCATACTGAGCAGAAAGTTGGAAAGTGTGGCCTTTATAAGGCCCATCAAGCTAAACAATTCTAGACTTTTTTCCTGCTATTTCATCAAAAATTGGTTTGATGAAAACCTTTTCATCAAAAAGGTTTTCACTCCTCTTGGTTCTAAACAGCCTCCTGAATATGACCAAGCACTCCAAATAAATAGGACTGTTACACAGACGTGTGTTCAAGTCATCTTCATAAGGGCTATCAGATTTAATGAAGGTATCAAATTGAAATCTAGAGCACTAGACCACATTCTTTGTCCTATGCTGAAGGTAAGGCAAGACAGCCTTAGCCTAAGAGAGAAACAACTACCATATTTTTCGGACTATAAAACCAGTGTATAAGATGCACCAAGATTTGAAGAGGTAAGTAAGGGAAAAAGGGTTTTGTCCTCCCTAGCCCCCAGGAGCACTCTGCAGGCTTCAGCAAGGCTGGGGAAAGGCAAAAATGCCCCCGTTTTTGCAAAAAATGGGCAGAAAATGGGCAATTTTTCCATAAACGGGGACGTTTTTGCCTTCCCAGAGCCCTACTGAAGCCCGCAGAGTGCTTCTGGGGGCTGGGGAAAGGCAAAAACACCTCCGTTTTTGTGAAAAATGGCCTGTTTTTCACAAAAAGGGGATGCGGGGGTAGAGCCTCAGGAGGCAAAAAATGATTGCATTTGATATATAAGATGCACCAACATTTCCACGCTTTTTTAGGGGGGGGGGAAGGTGCGTCTTATACTCCCAAAAATATGGTAAAATGAAATAAAAAACTAAGGACAGAAAAAAACCAAATGATAGGGGGAGGAAAAAAAAACTAAAAGAATTAAGAGGGGAGGGAACCCTAAATGAATGAATAAATCTTTGTCCTAGGCT